CGCGCGCGCGCGCGCGCGCGCTCTCTCCCTCCCACTCTTTTTTTTTTTTTTTTTTTTATAGATAGAGAGAGAGAGAGAGAGAGAGACAGAGAGACAGACACTCTCTCTCTCTCTCTCTCTCTCTCTCTCTCTATATATATATATATATATATATATATATATATATATATATATATATATATATATATATATATATATATATATATATAATGGAGAAGAAAACGAAAGTACAAGATGAATTGATGAAAGATATTTCAGACACTTCGAATGTGTCGGGAGCTAATTGTAATCGAAACTTAAAATAAATGAAAATTACGGCCACCTCCTGTGGTATGACAACTCCTTTTAAATATTTTTACATAAAATTTATGTAATTCGGTTATTTACCAAACTCATATATTCAGTTCGGTAAACGACCTAAAGAAAGAGTGTAGTGTTCAGAATGAATTTACTTCTAAAACACACATTACTTTTGTAAGTCATGCTTACTTTTTCCGTTGTAATAATTAAAATAAAAAATGGCTGAAGGGCATAATTGTCTTCTAATTTACATGTGCAGAAAATTTCTCATCATTCAAGCTTCGCCAACCAGGCTTCAACGCCATTAGAGAAAACCTTCAAGATTAGTGGATCCAGAAGAACTGCCAAATATACCCCGATTCTTCATTTGGGGATCATCTCTATTAATTTCTGGCCGGAGAAATCCTTTTTAGCACTTCCCAAAAACCCTAGCATTTCCGATCTCCCTTTATTCCGATCGGAGATCCTTCATCACTGGTTCTCGAGTTCGTAATTCAATTGTATATGTTTCGATTGGATTTGTAGTTGTTGTTGTTGTATCGACGTAGTGTAGGGAATTGATACCCCTTCTCATGGAGTGGGCGACGGTGCAGCACTTGGATCTCCGGCATGCGGGTCGGAGCTCCAAACCCTTACAACCTCACGCCGCCGCATTCCACCCGACTCAGGCACTCGTCTCCGCCGCGATTGGCACTCACATCATCGGTACGCTTTCTTCAATGTCCCTCCATTTTTCTTCTTCTTGGAAGTATCAAATATAAACGCGGACAAGTAAATTGAAATTATTATTGTTGCGTGTGTGTGTGTGCAGAGTTTGATGCTTATACCGGAAGCAAGATCGCATCCGTGGATATAGGCTCACCTGTTGTTCGTATGGCGTATAGCCCCACCGCTGGCCATTCACTGATTGCTATACTTGAGGTCGGTGTTCAGTCCTTTTTACCTTGCAAAAACCCCAATAAGTATGAACAGATGTAGAACTGAGAATGAGAAGAAAAAGTTTTTGTTTGATTAGGTGTGAATGCTTAGATTGACCTTAATTGAAGTTCTGAGACTAACTAGGGTAAGTACTTGAATTATTTTGATTGTTGTGGTGGCATGAAATATCTTTGTTTCAGATAAATTAATTGATTAACTAGTTAAGGGTGAATGGAATGGATCAATTGTGTAACATAAATAACTGAGATAGTGTCAGAGAGTTTAACTTCCCGTTCCACTTGTCCAAACACAATACTGAAAACATTTCTGTCCCTTTTCTTCTCCTCAAACTGGACGTTGAACAAGTGAGAGAATTATAGATAATGATCGATTTAAAGACTTGTAGTTTTCTTACATCAGATCTCGTGCTCAATACTCTCTCTATCTCTCTCCCCCTTTCTCCTTGTTAATATTATGTTATAGTATTCAATTATGCTGGCAGATTTTTGCTTTCTTCTCATTAGTATGCTATTTCAATGGCCACTGATTATAGAGCTTCAACAATATTCAAGTCTTTCTAATTCTGTTTATCTTCGTCGAACTATATTTTTATAATTATTTTTTTGCTTTGCTATTTGTACTTATCAATCCAGGATATAATTGTCAATATGATGTCCCCTTTACATGTTGATGTCATCTGTGTTACATACAGGATTGCACGATCCGGTCTTGTGACTTTGACAGTGAACAAACATGTGTGTTACACTCACCTGAAAAGCGGACGGAACAAATATCTATTGATACAGAAGTCATCTTGCCTTGACTCCTCTTCAGCCTGTTGTATTTTTTGGTTTCCATAAGAAGATGAGTGTAACAGGTTTGGCAAATCTGATCTAGCTTCTTTTAAACATTTTCTGTTTCCTGAGTGAATAAGGATATTTCTTTCCTTACAAATGCTCATAGGAAAGAGGGGTTGTGAGTGAGATAAGCGGTAGACCAAAACTGTTGTTTCCCACAAATAAGTTCACATTAGTCACATGGTGGATTAGTACATTGCTTTGGCTTGCCACATTGTGTTGTGCGACAATTCTAAAGATTAATGGTAACTGGGAACAGGATGATGAAGAAGCTATTACTACATTCTCTTTTCTGTTTCTGTAATGATAAAAGTATGATGATCTATAGATGCAAGTGGATGTTCATACCATGTCAGTTACTGAATTTGTCACTAAAGAGGACTATGGCAATGTTACTCTGTGCAGTAGTCATTACTCAGAGTTACTTATGTACATTTTTTTCTGAATGCATTCATTATTGGTTGTGCCAGTTGTCGGAACTGTTGTGGGTGGGAAAGCACCAACCAAGATAAAGACTGACCTGAAGAAACCTATAGTCAACCTGGCTTGCCATCCTCGCCTTCCTGCTTTGGTAAGAGTTCTAATTGGAACGTGACATCTCAAAATACCGCATAGTTTATGTTATTTTTATTTGCCTATTTCAAAACAGTAACCAGAGTTTATGGAGCTGATGTTTGTCTCATTCCTTCTGTGACCAGTATGTGGCTTATCAAGATGGTTTAATTCGAGCTTATAATATCCACACATATGCTGTTCACTACACCCTACAGCGTAAGAGTTGAACAGCGCTTCTATGCCTGTATATATTTTTTTTTTCTGCCAAAGTGCATGATGGTTTAGCTTCACCTTTGATTATCAGTGAAATGTTCACTAACTTTCATATTGGAAATCTAATTTGTTGATGATGCCTTTTCAGTTGATAACACAATCAGGCTACAGGGTGCTGGAGCATTTGCATTTCATCCAACTCTGGAATGGATTTTTGTTGGTGATAGACGAGGTACAGTTTTGGCATGGGATGTATCCACCGAAAGACCTTTGATGATTGGAATGTAAGTTAAACATACATCTGTCTGTATCAGCCTCCTCCCAATCACAACATATTCCTGTTACTACGTTTTTATCACCCAGTTATCTAGCTGAGACGGAATCAATACACCCTTCATAAATCTGTTCACCCTCATTGTATGATGACTCTCATTATTGACTCCATTAATTGTGTTTGTCATCCTCCATATTTTATGTTGGCATTTTTTTCCTTTATTAATTGTGATTGACTGATAAGAAGTAGAGACTGTATATTAGTTGAGATGGCATAAGCACGACTCTTGTCCGCCAGCTTATTTATAAGTTGGGATGGCATAAACATAACTTGTGGCTTTCAGCTTATGTTGGAATTTTTCACACCTTGACAATTTGCAAGATTCGGTATTTTGAGAATATTATTGTTCAACTGTATTTGGAACTTTAATGTGTATTCTTTGTTCTTGAGTAATGGTGTTATGGTTTTGACATTACATTCTAGTACACAAGTGGGTTCACAACCAATCACATCAATTGCTTGGCTCCCAATATTGCGGTTGCTTGTTACTTTGTCAAAAGATGGATCCGTTCAAGTTTGGAAGACCCGAGTAGTTGTGAATCCTAACAGACCTCCAATGCAAGCAAATTTTTTCGAGCCTGCTGGTTAGTTGAATATTATATTTTTCTCCTTTGAACGGTAGTATTAATACTGTATAATGGTGTAGCAATGGTATTATTTTAGTGGTCAATATCCAAATATCATATTTTTTAGAAGTTCAGTAAGCATTGCATTATTTCTTGCACGGTCCCTTTTGACAAGTTTACTCTTGTATTAGAGTATTTTTGGATGTCCTTTTTTGTAGACAAAGGTAAGCTTTTATTGTCTTGATGAAAGAAATTTCAGTTTGAAGATACGATGATATTTTCACAGTCAGATAAGGAAGCCGCAGCTTCTACGTGATCTAGTTTCTAGTAATTGAGACTTGGTCAATGAAGTAAAGAACATTTTGATGTGATGAATCTTGAAATATACTACTGTAATCTTGATGAGCTTAAGTATTAAGATATAGAAAATCGAAATACTTTCCCCTGTCTGAAAATATTCACATGATTACTTTTCCCTTCGAAGGTACTTCTACCCAAAGTTTAGTGGTCTATATTAAAAATAAGTAAAAGCAATATTTCATGCCCGTTGTTTTAACTTTTGCTAAATTCAGATAATCCTGACATTTTAATTGAACTACGGTCAAACATCAATTTCTGATTCCTCCCTCTTAATAATCTACCATTTCTTTCAAACTTATGGTGTGTGTGTATATATCATTGATTCTGCTCATATTTTATCTGGCAGCTATCGAATCTATCGACATCCCTCGCATTCTATCTCAGCAAGGAGGAGAGGCTGTTTATCCGCTCCCGCGAATAAGGGGTTTGGAAGTGCACCCAAAGTTGAATCTAGCAACAATACTTTTTGCAGTAAGTATGTTTGTACTCCTCAGATGTGGATCTCATAATCAGAAGAATTGAAATGTTATAAATAGACTTATGATTCTTAATAGGGCATGGGTGGGGGAGACAACCGCAAAAACAGAGCTGCATACACTAGAGAGGGACGGAAACAACTCTTTGCTGTTCTGCAAAGTGCAAGGGGGTCCTCAGGTGATTGTTTGGATTTTTATACTTGATTGAGAGTTTATTTTTATACTTGATTGGTAGATTGCACTTAGTTTTGGTGATTGGACTCGATTTCTTGTGGATGCATGTCGTTACTGATATTGATATCTGATTTGCTTTTGTTGTTATTTCTTTTGAACACTCTGCTGTATGAGGAACTTCATTTTGAGTTTGATATATTTCTGTGGAGAGTGTTACTCAACTCCTGATGCATTATACATGTATTGTCTTGTCTGCATTATAGTATTATACATGTATTGTCTTGTCTGCAGGTAGGTTCTCAACTATGAGAACAATTGTTATTTTTTATGTCACTAATGCTTGTGTGTCAACTTTAAAACCCGAGCCGGATTGTCATTTAGCTGGATTTGCTTTGCCAATGAATATAATAATTGTACCAATATTCTGTCACGACATACTGCTTCATGGTCTGACATTTCTGAGAAACAATTCAGCCTTAATCATTTGCTTGGATCTTTAGATGGTATCTTTTACCTTTCAATTGTTAAAAGTGCAGTTTTTCTTTTTGTTGCTAACTCCGATTTGTTGAGCAGCATCTGTATTGAAGGAAAAACTTGTCTCCCTTGGTTCATCGGGTATATTAGCTGATCATCAACTGCAGGCACAGCTGCAAGAGCAGAACGTGAAAGGGTGAGTAAATCAATTGGCATGATTTACGCACCAAAATTTATCATTGTTTCACCAAATGTCATTACTCATGAATAGACTTTTCTGGACTGTAAGACATCTTCTTATCTCATTATTGACATCCTGTTTTGTTTTGTCAGCCAAAATCAGTTAACAATCGCAGACATAGCAAGAAAGGCTTTTCTTTACAGTGTACGCTAGTTTTCTCCCCGACGCTATTCTGTTTTGCAGTTTCAATTTTTTAATATCTAGGGCAAGGGCATCAGAGTAGTTGAGTAAATGGTCCTCAAAGTCGAATTTCGTCTTAAAATTCAGACTGATATAAGTTTGTATTAAATTATTACGGTACCAAATCTAGGTCCTGGTGTCAAATTCATACTTTGTCTGCTGATGACTTCATTTTAAGGTATAGACAAGGGCAATGTGCTCAATCTTAGAGTTAATGAAGCATAAAATTGGGTTTTTCTATCTTAAAATGTTAGAAAATAATATAAGTAGAACTATGGTTGATCTCTGTAGAGAAATAAAGATAATATATAGTTTTTGGATAAAGATAGACTGGTTTTTGCAGAAATATATAAGTACTCTAATTTGAATATAATATTATTTTTTTCTATTTTAAATAAACTTGTGAGTAGGTAACATCAATAAATTCATCAGAAATATTGCAGGATCTTTGTTTGCGTCAATCTCTTAATCAATTAAAATAACAACTCAAAACAACAGTAGAAGTTATCAAATTAAAGGTCATTGTTATTCATAATGGTCACTTCTATAATTATTGGGTATCAAGTAAATGTTTGTACTATCCACATTATCTAATTGATACGTCTTCCAAATTTATAGTGTAACTAACCAGTAAAGAATAAGTTGAACTTATAGATAGCTGAACTCATTACACATAATATTTTGCTTGTGTACATATTTTCTGCGACATTGAGTTATCAGCTCGTCCTGGTTGTTGCAGCATTTTATGGAAGGCCATGCAAAGAGTGCTCCAATATCTCGATTACCTCTGCTTACTGTATTGGATACTAAACATCAATTAAAAGACTTTCCTGTTTGCCAGGTAGTTACACATATATTATTTGTACCATTACATGTATAAATAAGAGACTCTGATTATCTCAATTTTGCAGCCACTTCACCTGGAGCTAAATTTCTTCAGTAAAGAGAACCGTGTTCTTCACTATCCTGTCAGGGCTTTTTATGTAGAAGGACCAAACCTCATGGCTTATAATATTACATCTGGAGGTGAAAATATCTACAAAAAGCTTTATACTTCGGTAATATTCAAATTCAAGTTAGTTATTTCTTAACTATTGTTCATGGTCATACCACTGGCCTATGAGGATCTGAACCTCATCTTTCTGTTTTCAGCTTCCTGGAAATGTAGAAATCCATCAGAAACACATTATTTACAGTAAAAAGCAGCACATATTTCTTGTAGTTTATGAGTTCAGTGGTGGTGCAAATGAGGTAGTTCTATACTGGGAAAACACGGACCCCCAATTCGCAAATAGTAAAGTCACAACAATTAAAGGTATGTACTGTCTTTGTGCATTCTTATTGAATCTGAGTGCATACTAAGTGATTAGTTCGATACATTTTGTGAATTTTCAGGTGCAGATGGAGCGTTTATTGGTCCTAATGAAAACCAATTTGCCATTCTTGATGAAGACAAAACTGCAGTTTCCTTATATATGCTACCAGGAGCCGTCTCACAAGAATCCTTAGAAAAAAATGCAGCAGTTCGTGAAAACCAGTCTGTGGAAACCGAAGCTACTTCTATTAAGGGCCCCGTGCAGTTTATGTTCGAAAGTGAAATTGATCGTATCTTTTCTACCCCACTAGGTGTTTAGTGAAGACCTCTGTTTATATTTTTCTATACTCGAATAACTTGACTAGTTCTGATTCAGACCTTTTCTTTTGTAGAGTCAACTGTGATGTTTGCTTCTCATGGCGATCAGATTAGCTTGGGAAAACTCATCCTAGGATACCGTCTTCCTAGTAATGATGGGCATTACATCTCAACAAAAGCTGAAGGGCGAAAATTCATTAAATTGAAAGTAAATGAGAGTGTACTTCAGGTATTATTCAGGTTTTAGTCTTGACTTACTGAGAAAGAATATTTCCTTCTGTCTTAAGTGTCTTCCGGGCCTTCTAAAAATCTTGTAAGATGTTGCCGGACCTGTTCTGTTTTGTGGCTTGAAGATATTGTTACTGACTCAAGAAACATACAAGAGGAGGATATTAATTACACACCCACGTTGCAACTGGCGCATGACCAAAATCAAAATTGTTGATTAGGAGTTTGCTAGTAGCACTAATAGATTCATTGCTGGTATTTTTTGTAACCACGAATTCTGATATCCGTCAAGTAATTTTGTTCAAAAAGATATTGATCTTCAAAAAGTTTTGGTTTGAATTATCCAACTTCCAACAGCTTCTAGGTCATGTCCATCAAAGTGTTTTTAATATAACTGAATATAATTAGTTTGATGCTTCTTATATACTGTTCAAAATGGTCTTGTTTTAGGTACAATGGCAAGAAACGCTCAGGGGCTTTGTAGCTGGAATATTGACGACACAACGGGTCCTCATTGTTACAGCTGACTTGGACGTATTGGCTAGTAGTTCTGCAAAATTTGATAAAGGACTTCCTTCAATATCCTTTGTGCCTTCTGATCTCTGTTAACACAAACTCCCCACCCCAAAAGAAAAAAAAGAAAAACTAATTTGCAATTGCTAACTGTTTGTTCTTATAGTATTCATGTTTTTTAATACATATGGGCCCTTAACCATTGTTTACTTCAGATCCCTGCTATGGCTTGGTCCGGCACTTCTCTTTTCTACTTCTACTTCTATTAACGTTCTTGGTTGGGATGGAAAAGTTAGGACCATCCTCTCAATCAGTATGCCTAATGCAGGTTGATTACTTACCTGTGGCCCAAAATGAGTAGATGTCTATAATTCAAGTTGTTGACTATTTTCTATTTCGTGATTGTGCCTCCATATAGTGCTGCTTGGAGCTTTGAATGACCGTCTGCTTCTCGCAAACCCTACTGATATAAATGTTAGACAAAAGAAGAAATTTGAGATCAAAAACTGTCTTGTTGGGCTTCTTGAACCTCTTCTCATTGGCTTTGCCACAATGCAGCAACACTTCGAGCAGAAGCTTGATCTGTCGGAAGTCCTATATCAAATAACTTCAAGGTTCGTTTTCGTCTCAAAGATTAACTTTAATAATTAACACTATTATTGGCTTGTACGCATAATTGATAATAGGCTGACTTTGTTGCAATTTTTGTCTTTGTTATGCCGAAGTTTTTATCTTTAACACTTTGGAAATCTGACATATTGAGTACTGTCAAGTGAAGGTTTGATAGCCTGCGTATTACTCCAAGATCACTCGATATTCTTGCCAGAGGTTCTCCAGTTTGTGGTGATCTTGCTGTATCACTATCACAATCAGGCCTGCAATTCACCCAGGTGCATTTTTTAACATTACTTTGTATATCAGTATCAGCAAATCACCGTGTTAGCCAACCTTTTGCTTTTCTGACTCAGGTGTCAAGAGGAATTTATGCAATCAAAGCACTCCGCTTTTCTACTGCTTTATCTTCTTTGAAAGATGAGTTTCTGCGATCAAGAGATTATCCTCGATGCCCCCCAACTTCACATTTGTTCCAACGATTCCGCCAGTTGGGATATGCATGTATCAGGTTCTTAGCTACAACTATCCTTTGCTAGCTTATGAAAAATCTAGGGCCATTCTTTGGAGGATCAATTAGCTAAATTCAACCAAGTTTGTAGCATTCTAATTTGCCCTTGAAATGGCTACAAGGGTGTACTACATGCAGTTTTGGTTTAGATCATTTTACATTTTTGATCATGATGAATGTTTGAAATGACATTTTCATTATTCTTTTAGCTAGACAAAATTTTATGCTTGGGTATTTCATACATTTTTTCCTTTTTTAAAAAAAAAAAACCCTGCTATATAGCTTCTATAATAGATCGGGTGTTTTAGCAAATATGGCAAGTTGAATCTGGGAATCATGTGTTTTATAATGCTTGCCATGATCTATAGGTCTTAGAATTTGTTTTCACATAAAAACATCGATGTTGAATTGAATCACTGTCACAACATCCCTGCATTTCTTTTGGGTGATGTTAGTTGAAGGATAACGTGGAAACAACTTGATGCAAGTACCTTCTCTTAGATTAATGTGTATTATTTTAAGTAACGAAATCTTATAAGGTATTTATTTTTGTTAATTATTTTTTTCCCTAAATTGCCGTAAATTGGAACATATGGTGACTTAAAGTGTATAGCTTTCTTCTATGTATCTCCAGTGGTGTCAGTATCTTTCATATAGCTTTAATCTTGCTTCTAAATGTTCAGTGGTTTCATCTGCTCAGTTATTAGTATGCAAGTTTATATCTTCTGCTATTATGTGATTCGTTAGCTTTGCTCTATAATGTTAATCCACTTCTCACTGTATGATAATGTCTAATTGCGCAGATATGGTCAATTTGATAGTGCAAAAGAAACTTTTGAAGTTATATCAGACTTTGAAAGTATGCTTGGTCTGTTCATATGCCACCTTAACCCCAGTGCAATGCGGCATCTCGCCCAAAAATTAGAAGAAGAGAGCAGTGATCCAGAGTTGAGGAGATGCTGTGAGAGGATCTTGAGAATCCGTACTGGTGGGTGGACACAAGGCATTTTTGCGAACTTTGCTGCTGAAAGTATTGTCCCTAAAGAACGTGAATGGGGTGGTGGGAACTGGGAAATTAAGACGCCTACAAATTTGAAGGACATACCTCAGTGGGCACTGGCTGCAGAGGTGATGCCTTACATGAGAACTGATGATGGTACTATCCCTTCCATTATTACAGACCATATTGGTGTTTATCTTGGTTTGGTCAAGGGAAGAGGTAATGTTGTTGAAATGAGAGAAGACAGTTTAGTGAAAGCAATTAAAGCTGAAGGTGGTATCAAATCAAATGGAGTTCAGACATCTCTTACTACCTCGATTTCTAACCCGCCCAAAGGCGTCACTGCTCCTGAATCTATGGGTGGTTCGCTGATGGGTCTCGAAACTCTCTCCCAACAGTTTTCAGTTTCCAATGCTACAGATGCTCAGATAAAGGCTGAAGAAGAATTTAAGAAGTCACTATATGGTTCTGCTGATGGAAGCAGCAGTGACGAGGAAGAAACCTCGAAAACAAAAAAGTTACGTATAAGGATCCGTGACAAACCAGTTGCATCTGCTACAGTTGATGTCAACAAAATTAAAGAAGCCACAAAACAGCTGGGTCTCCCTATGAGTAGGACCAAGTCATTAACTGGTTCATCACCAGAGCTTAGCCTACTTGGACCTCAACCTTCAACCACTGGAACCGTGAAATCTCAAAATTCTCTTCCTGCTGATATTTTCGGAACCAATGCACTGGTTCAACCACCACCTCTCTCACATTCTAATGCCACAGGACCAGGTGTTGGGGTTACTGTTGGGCCAATACCAGAGGACTTTTTCCAGAACACAATATCATCCCTTCAGGTTGCGGCATCGCTCCGTCCACCTGCGCCGTTTCTGTCAAGAATGGATCAAAACTCTCAAGGCGTTGAAAATAACAAGGTCCCATCTAACCAGGGTAGTACACCTGCACCTGAGATTGGCCTACCTGATGGTGGGGTACCTCCTCAAGCTACTCAACAAACTGTTCCATATGAGTCGATTGGGCTTCCAGGTGGTGGTATTCCTCCACAATATTTGCCTCAACCTGCTGCTCCATCACAACCACATATGCAAACGGTACAACCTCCTGTCTCTGCTCAGCCCCTTGATCTCAGTTCACTTGGACCCGGGTCAGAACCATCTGGAAAACCTCCTGCACGTTCAGCTTCGCCTCCAAAATCTGTGCGTCCTGGGCAGGTAAATATTTCCCCCAATTGTCGTGCATGGATTGTATATCACTTCTTGAAAGTTTACAGCAAATACAAATTTACTGGTGTATTATGTGTGTTGAAGCTCTGACATAGTTGTGAACTTTCAGATTCATTTATTTGTTACTTTGTGGGATTCTAAAGTACACTCGAAATATCAGCACCACGGTGATAACTGGTTTGATTGAATCAAAGTACACTCGAAATATTTAAGGTTTCCTTTTGTTCCAGGTCCCACGTGGTGCTGCTGCTGCAGTTTGTTTTAAGACTGGACTTGCTCACCTGGAGCAGAATCAACTTTCAGATGCACTATCTTGTTTTGACGAGGCTTTCCTAGCTTTGGCCAAGGATCAATCTCGTGGAGCTGATATCAAGGCACAAGCTACAATTTGTGCCCAATACAAGATTGCGGTTGCTCTTCTTCAGGTATCACCTTTTTCTGTTTGCTGTTAAATTTTTTTTGTATATAAATATCTAGTTTCCTCATCCACACTTTCTTTGGACATGTCAAGGAAAATCACGTGTCAGTAGAAATTTTATTAGGGTCACGAAGGATGGGTTAACTTTGATGGTTAGGCTAATGCTATGTAATGCCAAGTTTTTAAGATCTTGGAAATTAATATAACCTTGTGCATGAATTTCGTCTAATCAGCTGTCATTACATAGCATCTACGTTCTTGCTGAACAACAACGTACGAGCAATATCCAGTTTTGGTCTCTGGTCAAAAAACCTAAAAAATTTAAAGAACAAACAAAAATATGTCAATTCCTCTATAAGATTTTGAAAAACATTTGAATGTGTTCAATTCACTGTTGTGGGTAAACGTGAATGACTTTTCCGTTCCTTTCTAATGCCTCTTCACAGCCTCCAGCATCACCTCCCCTTGTTCCGTGTACATCTCTTCTTAACCTGACACCAACTTCAAAAAGTCTTCCATCATTGTTGGCCGTGCTAATAAATGAGTCCTTGTTTGAAATCACTCGTGGACAAATGTTTTCATATATTTAAATCTAACATCAGTAACTAAACTAAGACGATTGAACTTAACTAGAAAAACCATCTGCATATATTGGAACATTTGTCAATCACTGCTTGTGCATTATTAGTTTATAAAAACTTGTTTATCCATAGTATAAAATATCAGGTTTAGTTGCATGGAGTATGTACATTTCTACTGGACAAACAATCATCCACCACACACCCACAATAACAGCATATATATATATATGCTCGTATCCTGGATACAAATTATATTGATCTTTATATATTTAGTCTCGAACTCTCCTTCTATCCAGATACTAGATCAAAATGAGTTTTATATCTTTGATATTAGTTAGAAAGATTGTAAAGAAAAAAAGGAATATTTTCTGCCTCAACTTTTCTAAATGCTGTATTATTTTTACGTCATACCACAGGAAATAAACCGACTGCAAAGAGTCCAAGGCCCAAGCGCCATAAGCGCAAAAGAAGAGATGGCTAGATTATCACGCCATTTGGGTTCATTGCCTCTTCTTGCACAGCACAGGATAAATTGCATTCGCACGGCAATTAAGAAAAACATGGATGTGCAGAATTACGGATATGCCAAACAGATGCTCGAATTACTCCTGTCCAAAGCACCTCCAGGCAAACAAGACGAATTGAGAAGCCTAATTGACATGTGTGTTCAAAGAGGCTTGTCCAATAAATCAATCGATCCGCTCGAAGATCCCTCGCAATTTTGTGCTGCTACACTAAGCCGTTTATCGACAATTGGATACGATGTGTGTGATCTCTGTGGTGCGAAATTCTCTGCCCTGTCAGCACCTGGATGTATTATATGTGGCATGGGAAGTATTAAAAGATCCGATGCAATTGCTGGACCTGTTCCTTCACCGTTCGGTTGAGGGTTTAAGGTATGCTGGACTTCTCTGAAACCTGCATTCACACATAATGAAGGCACTTCATACTAGAGTCTGAAAAAGAAAAATTCCGAGTGTTCTGAAATTTCCTCGCAAGTATTTAATTTTTATCTCTGTTGTACATTTTTTTGTATTGTTTTGTTATATTGTTCCTCACTTCCTCTATCACTCCATTTGCCTATAGTTTGTAATATTCTTTATGCCCATATTTTTATTATGCTTTGTCTGTAAGCAGTTGTTTGCAGGTTCCGGCTATTTGTACGAAAGGCGTGTTTTTGTATGTGTTTTGAGGTTTGATGTAACTAGTAGAGGTATAGGTTGGTTTGTTTGTTTTTATTTTCTTTTTTCCTTCGACTTTTTCTTTGCAGGATGGGTTGGTTTTTTTTGTTTTTCATTTGATTTGATGATCTATTTTTCTGGACAAAAGTATAATTTATTTTCGAAAATAATAAAAATGTAATCTATAAAATGCATGTTATTATAAAAATATCTTAATGGGCCTAATAAAAATGACGTAATGGGCCTAAAATACCGTTATATATCGCTCGGCCCATTTAAGATATCTTACTGGGCCTACTGAAGAGTACACCGCCCATTAAAGATTTCGTAATTAGACCATAAAGTGTAATTATTGGCCCATTTATCTTTGTGGGCCTGTCCGATTATGCTGGCCCATTAAAAAATGTCATAAGTAACAATGAAAATGCTCGGCCCATTTCAAAGTCGTAATGGGCCAACTTTGGTGATTTTTGGCCCAATAAAAATAGTCAACGGGCCTTATTATTGGTACTTGGGCCCATTTCAGAATTTCTTAATGTATTGTACAGACTATAGAGATTCCTGGCAATTAAAAAATTTCATATTGGGCCTGCCTCAGCCACTAAAAACTAAATCTTTTAAAATTCACGATACAGAACAATTTTTTTATGCTAATAAATTAATAATCTTTAACTTCAATTTTTTCTACCCCAAAATTGAGAATGGCGGAAATTAAAAAAAAAATAAGCTTGGTCCTCCATACCACTCTTGAAAATATAATACATTAACTCAGCATTGCCTTTTTTATGCATGCAATGAAAAACGAATACACTCGTGTCGTAATCATTCTCCAAGAAACTGGCGTTTTCTTGATGTGTTCATGTAAGGCCTGATGACCCATTCCGTCTGAGCTTCATTTTGATCCATTGTTCCTAGCTTGATCTGCAACATAAAAAATGTTGGTATAAACAAATCAAAACAACTAATAAATGACATTTTGCTATCCGGAAAATATTGAAAATATTTCAAAATTCCAAACTATTTTTCACTTGCGAGTTACCCTGTCAAAGTTCAGACTATTTTTCTAATATCAAATCACCATCATTGAAAACAAAAGTTTGCTGATATAACTGCTAGAAGAAACATATATCCAGATAAATTGTTTGGACATGCAAACACTCGGTGAATACATACTAAGCAACAGAAAGATGTCGGGATGTGATCAATTAGAATTAGAATTAGAATTTAAAATCACCCAATAAATGCTCTACTATAAAGAAGGAACATATTATAATGAATCGAATTCCAGACCTAACACTCTCCAGCAGCAGCATCTGTTAGATAACATAAGATTAAGTCAATTGTCTCAGTTAATCACAATACCTGGTACAGCCGCATCTCAAAGCGAGGGCCAACCTCTCTGAGATCAACTGATTTGGGACCATCACTTTTATAATTATGATGCCTGCATAATTTATAGAGCAAGATTATCAGGAATATAAATAATCATGACAAACCCAATAAGGATATATAAATTGTGGTTTCGTTTTTAAGATTTCATATTATTTTTTTCCGTTCCATTTGAATGTTTGCTGATGTAAAAATTCCTTGACCCATCAGTGAAGTCAATGGTGCATATGCCACGAAGAAAGAAAAGCATGCTTGAATAAGCTGTTTCAGATAAGTTTTCGTGAAGTTCAGAATTCAAGATGAGGGAAACATATAAAGCTTGAATGAAAAGATAGGACTGTATCGAAAATAAAAGATTTTTTTTTCAGAAAAAGAAATAAACTGGTGATAGATTAGCACATTCTTTCATCGTCCAAAAATACATACACAACCATAAAAATCAATAAATGAATACGAATTTTTTTTTAACAAGCTACAACTCCCTTTGGGTACATGTGTTGTAAATTGTAATTACCATTTATACGGACACTTTTTAAGAAAAAGGAAGAAAAATAGTTTTTAAATGCTAACGAAAAATGGGTTATAACTTCCGAGCAACAGTTAGGCAAAAGATACGAACCTGAATGATATATAATCAGACTCATTGGCGAAAGTGAGAACGCGTTTCGAATCTGGTTTGGGTACTGGAAAGAGATATTTTAAAATGTTTGCTGTCCTTTGACCAAGCTGCCAAGCATTAAAGAAATCAAAGATAATCAGAACAAGTCTTTCACAGCATAACAGAACTGAGACAACAGAATCAAACACGTGTTTCAATTCTCAATAATCTTTCACTAGACAAGATTAACCTACACAATAAACTTTCATACTTCTAAATGTCGAACTCCAAATATAACTTATAGTTATAGTTACTTAAAAATATAGTTATAAATCTAGGAAACCGGGAGAAAAAAATTCCATCAGAAGAAAACCTGCATTATCTTCTTATTCTATGAAGGCTGGCGCAATGTAATCTAAAAATTAAAAATCTTAATAGAGTTAATAACAAAGTTAATGGTTGAGTTTCTATTGGAACAAAAAGGCTGTGCAATAAGTTGTTTGAATTTGAAAATTTATGCATGGCTAGAAAAGTTCATAAAAAAGGATTTGATAGGTATTTTCCTAAAAAAAATATAAGGAACATGAAATAAATGTGAAATGTCATGAGTTTCTCGATCTTTAAGCAGTTCATGTAAAAATACCCACAGGCTACATTTAAATATTAATAGTACCCGTTTTAACACAGTATCGAGATTCGAAATAATTGATATCAAACTTCAATACTAGAAAGTTTATGAAGGCGAAGTGCTCAACCTTGTTAACTGAAAGGACTGCTTCAGTTTTCGAAAAATTAATTAGTAACATATAATTGCATTGAGAATCATTAGACCTATCCAAGACTATGCCACGAGGCGACGAACTTACAGTTGTGGGCAACAGAAACAAGTTCCAATTTCTCATTTAATTAGTTTCAGAAATCAAAATTTAGACAAACAGATGTCTGAATCGTAAATGAAATATTACCTTAGTAGAAAAGTTGTTAAAAATCAAGTGTGGGTAAGCCTCAGACATTGGTCCCAAAAGATCCTTGTCCTTGTTATCATGTCTTGTGACCTACATGAGATTTTTTAAATCAGAATCTTGAATGCAAAATAAAACTACAGAAATCTGCAAGACCAGAAACCAATAAACTTACCACATTGAGCAATCCAAAGTACGCAGTCGGGCCAAAAGGTAAATGGCTTATGACCATGCCATCTGGCACACCACGGTGTTCATGAACTAAAATAACATCTGTAAAATCATGAGCTCGGCAGGTTTCAATTATTTCTGATATAACCTGCACCATAAGTAGCAAATCATAATTTACGGACTACACATAGTATGCACAATAAAATTACCATATCGGCCTTGTCCACATACAGTTCAAGTTAAACATTTAAACCAAATAGTACTTTGAGTTAATAGTTTCTTAAATCAAATTAGTTTGCAAGTCACCATTTATCATTGTTTCACCTGTCATGTGAGTACGAGATTTCCGCAATTGAGATTTATAACTGAGACTAATATAAATCAAATTTATTTTTCTTATTATAATTCACAGTGCAGCTATCTCACTGAAAATGATATCAATATACAGTATTCTATCTTTGATTTATTCTGAAAGCAGCCCCCATATAATCGCATAAGAAAGATGAACATATCATTCTATCTACCAATTGCCAGTTCCAAAATTGACAAGAAAATGGATTAAACGAGCAAAAAGAAGTTAAGTAAAGCGAAGTTTGCAGTGGGCCAACCTGACCACCACGATTCATCCGTTGTGCATTGGGAAAAACAAACTTCAATTCCTATAAAAAAAACAAATATAACACCATTGAGATGAAATCCAAGTGATAACGTCGGCAACTGTCTGTCACATGAAATGAAAGATGACAGCCCAACTACTTAATTTTTTTTAATTGTTTGTATTTCATTTGTGGACAATATTTCTCAGGTCATTTCGTCTTTTTTTCCTCGGGAAAACCCGATTGAAAATCATTTCGAAATCAGCCCGTCTGAACACAGTCTAGGAAAAAACATGGGATATGCTGGATACTCACAGAGCAAAGTAGAAGGTAAGAGAAACTCAAATTATTTTAGAATGAAATAAAAAAAAATGGTTCTGCCTTACTTATTTGATTTGACAATTGTTTGAACATCAGCATTGAGACTAATTCACAGTAACTGCTAAAAGGAAGATAAGAAAGCCAAGAGCTTGGAAACATCCACAGCCAATCACAAAATTTTTTAGCAAACCACAAACAAATATAACACCATTGAACGTATGACACAAACAATATCACAAATCCCATTCGAGGCTCAAAAAATATAGATATTTAGTACAAGTAAAGACTCGAGACTTGACAAACCTTCACAAATTGTGTAAGGGGAGCACTAGGGCTGCGAGAAGTTGTAAGCAAAATCTTGGGATCTCTATCGAATGCACTTGCATATTCATCATCAATGGTCGAATGGGGAACTACACCCAAGCAAAAAAAAGTTAGCATGATAATTTGAATTCACAAAATCCACACCCGTAAATGAACCCAATAGTTACAATTATCAATTATTCTAAATAAATAAATAAAATCAACCAAGAAAAGCCACATTTATTCAACACAAATACACTAAAACCCTGGAGTCGAAAAGACGACATGAGGAAACAATTCAAAAGCAAAATTGCAAAAGTGTAAAGTAAGTTTATATAATACCAGCAGTATGCTCATCTTCGAGGTCGATTTCTCGGCGAAGGCCGGCCTCTTCGTTTCTTAGCTCAGTAGGAATAGGCTTTCCCTCTATTGAAAATAATCAAATTCAGAACAACATAAAAATACAGGAAGCAAAAGATTTAGCCTCTGTTCACAACAATCGAAATTCGAAAAATAAAAAACGATAGCTCGTACCTTCCAAGGCCTCGCGGATTTTGAGTTTCTTCTCGTAATCCAAACGCTGCTGTCCTTCCAAATTCTTGCGATAAAGATACTCTCTCCTCAGCCTCACATTTCTTTTCAACATACTGTAGAATGGATAGAAAAGGATCGACAAAACCCTAGAACAGAAAATTATGGACTTGAGGTGAGTGACAAAACCCTACAAAAAGATTGCGGTTAGGGTTTTAAATAAGTGAGTCGGGTAAAACCGCGTAAATCATCGGGTCGGGTTTTAGGGTTTCGTTTTTTGATAAATAAACAAAATTTCAAACGGTAGAGAGTTTTATATTTCCGTCAAAATGGAGAGAAACGATGTCGCATCGGAACCCACACAAACTTTTTGGCCAATTACAGGGGAAAATGAGAAAGGAAGAAATTAGAAACAGAAAAGTCGAATTTGTTTTTAGTTGAAATTACCAATTTTACCAATACTCCATTGAAGTGCCCAAATTCAATTAAATAGCTCTACAGAAAATTGAAATAAAGTGAAGCGGTTGCAAAAGGGGCGACGAGTTCGAATAAAAACAAAACAAAGTAACTGTTCTTACAATTTGAAAGAAGGCTTCACTTCTTTCTTCTAACGGCGGGCGCGGCTGGTGGCGGAAGTATCCGGCGGCGGTACGCGACGGAGGAAAATATATGAAAGTGAGAAGGACGCACTGTTGGTGTTTGGAGCCGCAAAGAAAGAGAGAGAGAGAGAGAGAGAGAACCCTAGAAGAAAAGACCTAAATGATACCCGACCCGCACTTATCCGGGGCACCCGAACCAAATAAAACCTAACTTTGTCTTAAATTAATTAAAGTAATATAAGTGTTTTGAAAACCGGACCGGACCGGTTAAACCGGTAACCGGTGCCTGTTCCGGTCCAATCCAATTTAAAAACCGAAAAGCATACAAACCGGGTGGAACGCTAACCCGCTTTCTTCTCATTTTGTCATTTAAGAAAATAGGGTAAATTACAAACACCCCCCTGAGGTATGGTCAAATTACAAAAACACCCCTCTTCTTTGGATAATTACAACCACCCCCTCAGCTCCTCAAATTTAGTGGAATCTTCGAGATTATATGGAATATTATCACTTTTGTACCCGTTTTATCCCATTCAAACTCTACATTATGAAGCAAGATGATCATAATATGTGATTTTTAGCTTGTATATATCAGTTTGTGGTGCATCGGAAACTGTATTGTCACACAAAATTAGTACAAACTAGAGCACATTCCACGGAATCTAGATGATTATGTTGAATTTGGCACCATAAGGGTGGAGGTGTAAGAAAAAATCATAGTTGAGGGGGTAGATGTAATTATCCAAACAAGAGGGGGGTTTTTGTAATTTGACCATACCTCAGGGGGTGTTTGTAATTTACCCAAGAAAATAATATTATCATTTCTTCTGCGAAATTTTAGCTTTATTAATCTAACTGCTATATCAGTTCTAGTATATATATATTTTTTTTTTCTGTTATGGTTATTTTATATAGAATGATGTTATGATAAAAAAAATTGTTTACAAAAAAACTTAAATGTATATATTTTTCACATAGTTATTTTATAACTATAAATAATTAAAAATCAAAAACCCGGTTGGACCCAGATTGAACACTCTTCATAATCTATACTAGGTATACAACTCTGCATTTATCAATGTTCAAATGCCAAAAAAAAAAAAAAAAAAAAAAAAACACCTCGTATTTTTATTTTTATTTTTATTTTCCCTTTTCTTATTAATCATCGATGCACAAGGTATCTGAAACTAAAATTGTACGGCATCACTTGTACTAATTTCGACAAAGGTTGTTTCCCTTTCGTCTCGAGGCATTTGAGTGCTTCGTTTCTTTGCTCGTTCGGTAGCTGCATGCAAATCCAATCGACCAACCCGTCCAAGTCCTTTGCAAAATCGAGAAGGTACCAATCCAATATCTTTGGAATAACTAACTTATTTGATGCTGAGATGGCAACCGCTGCTTGTAAATAGTCCCGTTTCGCCGTTTCCAATTCCGTTTCGATTTGAGATGCCGTGTATATCCTCACCTGTAAATGAACCATATTAATGGATAATAATTTATTTTTTTAAATGTAAATAAAATCATGGATTTCGAAATGAGGAAAATTAAAATGCCAAGAAAAATAAAATCAAGAGAATATTAAAAATTCCAATTATGTTTGGTTCCCACTAGGAGTCAATAGCCGACGAAAATTTATTTTACGTATCATTTTCATTGATCCAAACAGAGCCTAAACTGAATATTTGTTCCGAAAAACGCAATAATAAATGTGATGAATGAAACTCACAGCAGGGGAGGACCAGCTTCCACAGGATAGGGCAAACGTGACGAGTGGTTCGCACCATTCAAGACCAAGCCCTTTCGTCTTTTCATCGTTCTTTGCTGGTTTCGAGCAAGTCTACGACAAAATTACGAGAAAACTTCAAACACAAATAATTTCAACCTTCGACAAACTGTAATGGAAAAAAAAAAAAAGTAAATAAATCCGCTGGCAAATACTTACATATTTCAAGTGATACGGAAGTCTCAAGATAAGGTGTTCGATCATAAGTGCATTTAGCACATGCCCCCCAACTTTTATTGCCGCCTTCTGCATTTGCACCATGATCGCATCCGAACTTTCGTCGGATATTCCATGCTCCAAAAATGCCTGAAAAAATTAATGTAAATATAATAACATTAAATAAACAGAATATATACATACATCATATATGTATATATATATAGTGGTTGCTTACATTCATGATACAAGAGTTGTAGATGTTTATCCAGAATGCAAGCTTCTGCTGATGGCTTATTAGACCATCTAATCCAACATTTGCTAGCTTGTCTAGTAGAATCCTGAATTTTAATTACAAATATTAAAAGAAAAAATGATGGTAATAATGATTAAAAAAATTAAATGTAGAGACGGTCTTAATTCTTACTTAAGTCTACGGATCAAGAACGAGGCGTTTTTTCTTCGGCTGAGATCGACAGATCGTGATTCTATTACGTAAAGATGTTTATACGGCCCGATTTCCCTCCTCTTGTACTCTGTAAAATTGCAATAAGGATCACGAAAATCGGAATCCTCGTTGGATGATTTTGCTGCCAAAGAAGAACAAAAGGAATATTCCAAATCCATCGTCTTCGCTTTCGATGGGCTCAATCTTACAAAGATGTTGATCAAGCACTTTAAAATATCTTCAGACAATTTATTCGCCTCACTCTCGACATCGACATCACAAGAACCGAACGAACTCTCTTGTGCTTGCTCTACATTCCTACACTGAACCGAAACATTTTTCGAATTTATATTTTTTCAATCAATATGCTTTTTTTTTATATCGTGCAACGACTAAATTAAACCTGGATCTTCGTGGGATTCGGCTGCGGCCTCGATTTCGATACGTCCGATGAGAGAGAAGCAATTCTAGAGAGAGAAGGCGAAGGTTGCGGATCGAAGGATCCAAAATTGAGATTGATTTGCGATGATGATTTCGAGTGCCTATGTTTGGGATGATTCGTATTCGAAACCTCGGTTTTTTTCGAGGGTGTCGAATTTTCGGAACTCTTTGTGGAGGATATAGATACAGCTTCTTTATATAAACCTTGTCTGAATATCACAATCTGTTCTTCAAGCCTAATTACCTCCTCCTCCAATACAGCCACTTCTGCTAGAAGCTCAAGTGTCTGCAATTTTCATATTAACCAAAATTAAAAACAATAATAAATTACTAAAAAATAATAAATAAATTAAAAAAAAAAAAAAAAAGAAAGATGTGAATTTACATATTGAGGGAGATAAGAAGGAAGACGAGGTAGGGCACCCAAGGGTCTGGTGAAAGCTCTTTCCAGAGCTCTGTGCACATTTTCTTCGTATTTCAGCTTCTTCTTTAGGTTATCAACCTGCCATTTTTTTTAATTGAATAATTAAATAAATTGAAATAATTAAAAAAAATGAAGAAAATAAAATAAAATAAAATTGTTACATCTTGGAGCAAGGCCAATTTTCTTTCTCGTGTTGAACGGCGCTTGTTATTATTACTGTGCGGAGGTGGTTGTGATTTGTGCCCCTGCAATTCCATCTTCTTCCCCTGCCAATTTTTTATTTTTGATTTTTTTCAGATTGAACAATTAGTTAGAGAGAGAGAGAGAGAGAGAGAGAGAGAGAGAGAGAGAGAGAGAGAATTGGAGGTTACATATTGAGGATGCAAAGGGGCTTTGTTGGAGGTAATGTTAATAATGGCAGCTCTTTTATTCATCGGTGGTACTGGTTCTTCTTCTTCTTCACTTTGCCGGAAACACCATCAGGATCTGCAGCACAACTTTTTTTTTTAATTTAAAATTAATTTAATTTAATTAATCAAAAGAAAACAGAGAGAAAACGAATTAAACACAGTACATTAATTGAAAAAGAATAAGGTAATTAAACTGACAACCCTTCATCCAGAAAGAAGGTTAGAGAGCGGGAAAAAAAGCTGAAAGGCGAAAATGATATTGAGAGAGAGAGAGAGAGAGAGAGAGAGGAGAGAGAAACACTTTTTCCGAGGGAGCATAGAGCAAGGTATCTTTTGTAGTGTGTGGATAAAGAATGTGGCTGGCGAAAAATAAAACTATACATAATAATTATGATAAATCAGTGTATTTTAGTGAAAATAAAGATTATAGTAAAATTGATATAAGAAGAAAGGAATATAAAATAATAAATAAATAGTTGCAAGTGGCATGCAGTAAACAACAAAAGACCCCAAAAACTCTGTAAATTGATTGACTGAGAGAGGAGGAACAAAAGGACGAGGTTTATTTTACACACATTCAATGTCAGTTCACTCACCTTGAATTCAGCTCAATTCAACCTCAAAACAAGACTTTTTTTTTTTTTTTAAATATTATTTGGCTAGTAGAAATATATGCTAAAAGTGGTTTGCATTGTATAAAATGAAAAGGATTATAAAGGTAAAATGAAAATATTGGTGATTTTTATTAACATACATATATATATATATATATATATATATATATATATATATATATATATATATATATATATATATATATATATATATATATATATATGTATCAAATTAAATGTTGTTGATAATCAAGAGAAGAATCGAAATAAGTTTCGGAGTAAAGCAATAAAATTAAGTATAAATTACGGCCACCCGTGAGATTAAGTTCAAATTTATGTAAGAACCCCTCATCTTTGGATAGTTGCAACTAGCTCCATCAACTATGAATCTTTAGACAAAATCTTCTAGACTCGTGAAATGTTCTCTAATTTGTACTCGATTTTATTCTAAAATGCAATTTCTGATGCATCACAATCTTATATTTACAAGCCAAGAGACACATCTCATTATCATCTTGTTTCAAAATATGAAGTTAGAATGGGGTAAAACCGGGACAAGCTGAAGAATATTCCACATAATAATCTATAAGATTCTACTGAATTTGACACAGCTACAGTTGGTTGACGTGTAAGAAGATTCATAGTTGAGGGGTTATTGCAATTATCAAAATATGAGAATATTTTTTTTATAATTTAACCTTACCTCAAGGAGGAGGCCGTAATTTAATTTAGCATAAAATTAAATGAAATTAAAAATAAAAGAAAAAAAAAAAACAGAGGAAATGCTCCGGTGGAAAAATGATGAATAGAGGAAATGGAGTAGTGGGGGTAGGGAAAGTGGAAACCACTGGCAAGTGTGTGTGTGTGTGTGGTACAGGTACTTTGGAGGGACAACCTGCTTTCATCATGATTGAACGTGCTCTTTTCCAACTATATATATATATATATATATATATATATATATATAAATATATATATATATATTTTTTCTATAATTATCAAATAAGATGAAAAACTGTAAGACAAAAAAAAAAACAAATTAAATTAAATTAAATAATAGGACAAAAGGAGTTGGTTATAAAAGCAAAAATGAAAGAGAACTACATTAATATAGTAACGTTGCAAATCAAGCAAGTTTTTTTTCTCTCTTTTTTTAAATAAGTAGTAATTAATATAATATCCATTAATAAAATCAAAATTAGTGATTAGATGCCAAAAGGAGGTTGCTTAAACAAGAGTGTGAGACATTCCCAATGCACTAAAAATATGATTAATTAACAGAACAAAGTACCATGATTAGTTGCATGAGATCAGTTTTATATTAGGAAGCACGTGAATATATCTCATGCATGTACAGCTTTGTGGATTTAATATTATATTATATATATACTAATTAATGCACCACGCGCAGCTTCGTAAATGATTTTTTATTTTTTTTTTGCAAAAGAATATCCGACGTAAATAAATATAATTAATTGTTAAGAGAACAAGATTTAAAATTCAAATTATAGCTGCTGCAGTCTGGAGGAAATTCTTTCGTACAATAAATAAGATCTAATTGCCCCCACTTATTATATCATCTACACCATTCAATTTATTTGATTCAAGTTAAATTAGAAAGTTAGCTCAAAGAACTACAGTTTTCGAGTTTTAAATTTTGCCAAAGTCAAAATAAAAAATGGTCTAAATTACATTAGAAGTCGAAATCATATTTATAAAATTGAAGCGATATTTAACATTTCAGTTATTTTAAAACACCATTTTAATTCTAAAGGTATGTTATATGACACTTAGAAATTGGGGTGGTAAATGAGTTGAGCCAGCTCGTGAACTCGATGAGCCGACTCGATAAAAAGTCGAACTCGAGCTCGAACCCGATTATAGTTGTTCGACAGCTCGCGAGCTTCTTATTTAATTATTTTTATTTAAATAATATACATAATAATAAAAATAATAATCATTAAATACATATACAAATTAAAAGATGTATATTTTGATAATATTTTTTTAAATTTATAGTCATGTAAATAATTTATACTTATAAAATAAAGCAATATTAATATAAAACTTAGAAAAAAAAATGAAAATTTAACAAAATGAGTGGATGAGCTGAGCTCGATGAATCCACTTGGGCTTGAGCTTGAGCCTGGAAATTCTGGCAAGCTCGACTCGAGCTCGGACCCCTACTTATAAAAGTCCAAAAAATTTGTAAATGTAGACAAATATAAAGTCAACCACATAAACAATTAGTACACATATGTAACCAATAATAATCTTCATTGTCCTTCCTACAATAATAAATAGGCCAAGATTGAGTGTGATGTCTTACATTTGACTTGTCACCTTCATTTGCTGTCTCTTATTGTGGTCACAGCTTGGCTCTTTGGACCACCCTGCCCATCCCATCACCACCCCCAAACGCCACCTCTTATTTAAAAAAAAAAAAAAACTACACTAATTACTAATAAAAATCGACCGTCGTCGTATGGTAAACGAATAGCAAAACCAAGCAAAATGAATCAGATACAACAAGGATAAGAGACGATACCCGGACATCAACTCAAGGTAAAGGCAGTCACTGGAAAATGATTCGAGGTTATTATTACCATAGTCATCTCACTTTCAAAGCTGAAAACAAAACAAAAAACAAAGGCTTGGTGGTTAGAGAGTATTTAATTGGTCCCCCATAAAACCATGCACGAAAACGATAGATCGAAAAAGCTACTAATCTCACTCACCTCGCCTTGATTGGCGGCCCATTTTTCCAATTCCTCCGGCCACCCCCACCACCACCACCACCGGTCCACCGCTCATCTTTCGTCAACATCAGTTTTAAAAGAGGAACCACGCCTGCCTTATCTTAAGCTGTCCCAACAGTTATAGTAAATGTAATAAAAATCCATGCCTTGTCACTACCTAGGCTATATTTATTGTTAACATGAAAATCACAGCATCCGAACAATGTCAAAAGGGCCTATATACACATATAGGCATTAGAACTCTAGCAATTGTACTTACAAGTATCGTCATAATATTTATTCTCTTACGCGACATCTATTTAACTTACTCATCAATTCCAACCACATGGTGCACGTTACAAGAATCTTCGAGAATGGAAAAAAGAATAAAATGACAGAACAGACAAAAGTAGTTCGGGTCTTAAAAGATTGCCAAACATCATAAACTTTTTTCGAGTTATCTTACCAGTCTCACATAGGAGATAAGGGACATAAAAGTAATAAAAATTGCAGCCAAGGGCATTATAGTCACAAACTATTTGACAAGGAGTATAATATTTGCATAATCCAGCATGTAAGCCTTCAAAAAGATACATAATTATCTGTCAGTGGACAAATCGAAATCATATGCACATAATATCGGTATTACGAAAATCAAGATACTTCTTTGTACTAGAATAGGCATATTGCTGTCTTAAGCACAAACTGATTTTGTCACCAGGAATACTTCTTTGTACAATAATATTGAATAAACAGGAATAAATGTTACTGCAGTTGTAGAATATTTAGACGACAGTCGTACAATAAAGTAAAAGGTCTTTAGAATTACATATGCCCTATTGGACTTGGAAAATATGTAAATGGAAGAAACAAAGATAAAAATTCAGTACGAGCACTTACCGTAGAAGTGAAGGGATTCCGAATTGAAAAAGGGAGCAACCTGCCATCTAAATTCCGACACATGAACCATATATATTGAAAGCAGAAAGCATAAATCTTCATCCATTGTATCAACTTCACAATTTTTAAATATCTTAATAGTTGACGGACCATGTTACGTAAAAGTGACAAGTCATTTAGCAGGGGAAAGTTTATTAAAGTTTTTTTTTTTAATAACCAAAGTCCAAAATCTATGACCGAATAATTTACTTTACTCATTAAGAGGGGTTCACTAAATCTATAACGGAATAATCTCATGAAAAACCAAGATAACTTTTGATATATGGTGTTACTTTTTCGGTTTATGCGCCTTAACTGGGATGGTTTATGTAATTATGTTATAATAATATGCAACTTAACCAAACCAAAAAAACAGAGAAAAAAAATGGCGAAACTGCACGAAGATTTATGCAGAACTTATTTATTCATTACTCTCCACATCAGAGACTGGAGGTAGCAGCAGAGAATTTTTCATTAGGGTTTGCGGGCCCCTTACAAAGAAGCTCTCGTAATCATTCTCAATGCAAGACAAAGGTTTACTAGGTACCTCTTTTGACTGGGAAGCCAAAGGAAGCCCAAAGAGATGATCACCCCAAATATCATAAGTATATTTCTGCTCAACAACAGCCATTTTTTCCTCAGTTCCACCGGTTTTTGGGCTCTGAACCTTTTTCCCTGGAGCTCGTGCATGAGGAGCAATAGTAGATTTCGGAGCCAAAAACGGAGAATTGCACTTCCAAGCAGGGACCGCTCTAACAGCACTAGGAAAAGTTGCAGAAGGTAACAGAACAGCTTTGCCAGCCACTTTCTTGGTCAAACTAGGCTTCTCTGGTGCACAATTCGAACGAACCTCGTTATCCAAGATATTCACTTTAGGAGAGCATTTACTTTTATCAGTTTTCTGAGAAAATGGGCTTTTAGCTTCCACAGGTGATAGCGGCCATGGTCGTTTTGGTGGTGGTGATGTCACAGGTGACAAAGGTGATGACGGGGTAGAATTGCCGCTCTGACTGCTTGAAACTTCAAAGAGTAATGCTGGGGCGCCACTATTCTTCTTTTTCCTCTGCCTTTTTCCCTTCTCTTTTCCAACTTTAACCTTCAGATTTTGCGACTCTAATTTTTCTTGCGTATCCAAGTTCTCAACTGATGCTAATCTGGTTTGTGGCTGTTTATCCAATAGGGACTTAGTCTGCTTCTCATGTTCTGAAGATGGATCCACATCAGCACTTGATTTTACAAAACCCTTCATTTGGGGACCAATCTTTTTCCAATTAAAACGCGTATGCAGAGAATTCAGCAAATGGATCAAGGGCGAAACAGGGTTTTCCCTATTTTTTAGTTCTTGATCATGTGCAAATGCTGCCACATGTGGAAGCACGAAAAAAACCACTAAACACAGCAAAGAAGCCGCAAAAAACAACCCTACCGTAGCTTTCTTCACCCTCATCCAGAACATTATTTTTTTGCATGAGTGGAGCAAACACATCGGTATACTCGCTTTCATTGGAATGACAAGAACGCCACTCGCCAAAGTCAGTTCGAGGTCCCTCTGGACTGTCTCTGCTGAAAAATCAGTCTGGTACGATATGTAAAGCCTCGCAGATTCTCCAGGTTGAAGAGAAAACCCAGTACAATTACGCACAATAAACCCATCCAAGCCACATCTTACCCCTGAAACCTCGATTCGTAAGACCTCTAAAGGAAGGTCACCCGTGTTCTTGGCATAAACCTCTTTTTTCAAGGGCTGAGAACAAGACTGAGTTTTGCGCGGAGAAGAAAAATTTAACCTATTCGATAAATTCAAATTAAATTCCAAACTCTGCACAGGATCATAACCCTCGTGCAATGCTAACGAAAGTGAGCCCCCAAATCCTCTAAGAGATAACCACTCTACACCAGATATGTTATTCCTAATTAGCACCGAGCTTCTCCATTCGCATCTATTCGAGGGCTGAAAGAGGATTGGGCCGAGAATTGCACTCCCATATGGATGTATAAAAGCTTCGGTCACTGCATTTTTTCCTATTGAGAAACCATACCGAGTAGGAGCAAATGATTTATTAACTACCATAACACTGGATGTTAATGGTTGTAAGAGCTTTTCTGGTTCGCTGCACTTGTCAATTACTTGGCCCGGGTTTAATATGAGCTGCATTACAACTGGTTCTTGGCTTGGGTTTTTGACATTTATCCACTGAGAACAATAATTACCGACCAGAACTATTGGAAATAGTAGTTCGTTCTTATCAAGAACGGACATGGAGCTCACAGTGGCTTGGGATTTCCAGTTCCTCAGTATCGATTCATCTGCTTCTCCAGTGTCTACTGCCTTCAAATAAGGATCAAGAAATTGTAAGGATTATTGGAACAACAACTTGATCAAATATGTAATTAGATTGAAAAGATTTATTTAAATAAGGCAACAAGATATCACATTGAAACTAAACAGATAGCACTCATTGCTGTACACTAGGCATGGGCTACTTAAGACAGTTCTGGAGAATTTCTGATATTAGATTTTATGATCAACGAAAAACTTAAAAGGACAAGAGGTTGATGTAGAACAATTAATCTTATTGTGAGTGCTGATCTTTTTTTTTTCTGGATTAAAATTTCATTTCGACTTTGCAAAGTTGGAGGAGAAAACTATAGGAAAGAATATTCGGAATACCAAAATTTTCGTTCTAAAACCTCTACTTTGCAGAACTTGACCAAAGTCGACCTTGTCAGGTTAAATGGTTATCCTTTCTTACAGAAAAATGAGACAAACTAATGAATTAATTTACTCTAAACATCATATACTGGTGTAACAAACTATCTCGAAGAATTTTTTTTCATCAATTCAAGATTTGAAATACAACTAACATTGTGTCCAGACCTATCTATATGTTTTTATTTCACTGCCTATCTCAACTGATAATCAAACAAGCAACTTCCAAATCTCACTTGAGCTCTTGCGACATGTATTTGAAAAGTAAAATGATAAAATAAAATAAAAATGATTGTTGAAGAATAAGTCCGAAAATTAAAGAACTAAATAAAAGTTCCTTCAGAGATAAAACACGAAGCAGAATCTCGTATACCTTGATCTCAGAAAGTGGCGGCACACTGCTGCTGAAAAATCTCTGTCTTCCATTCACATAATCAACGTTATTGGCCCTCTTCGTATATCCAACAGAAGAATCAAATCGATGCCCTGAGCAAACACTGATTACATCAACACAAGGGATTTCCATCGGATTACTCGTGTCGTTCATCACTACGATTATTTTGCAGTTCACACTTACTTCACGAGTTTCCAAATGAGCATAATCGAAAGAAGCAACTTGGGTGACTGTACCGGGGAAAAGAACGAGTCCTTCAACAGACTTGATTCGAAACGTCTCTATATGTTCCCCTATTTGGGCCACTTTGATAACACTCAACAGATATGGGCCATCATTTCGGACAAACAACGCAACATTAATTGATCCACTTGTACTGCATGGAACTAAGGCCTCAATAGATAAGGAAACTTGCCCTGTATCTGGAGCACTGTTTGGATGCAGTTCAGCCTCGAGAGGTACCATTACAGTATCAATATCACTGGTCAGAGATCTAAGCAATCGCATACAGAAAGCTGCAGCAACTTTCCCTTCATACTGGTCCGAAATATCTAACTCCACAACCGTCTCTGTCTTTTTAGGACCAATCTCCCAATTCTTTTTTGGCCTCAATGAAATTTGTGGTCTACCAGCTTCAGCTCTTTCCACGACAAACCAATCTTTAGCACTCAACATATTGTAGTTGCTGGTATCTTCAATAGTGTGAGTATGGCAAATAGATTTCGACGAGCGGGACGTATTTCCGGAGGAAGTGGATATCCAAGCAGTTATTTCCTCCACGTAAAGGGCTTCATCGAAAGGATTAAACAAGGACAAATTCTTTCTCCACCTCCCATTGGATGAAATATCGAGACCACTTAGAGGCTTTATCAAATAAGGTGACTCAACAGCAAAGCCTTTGACCTGAATCAAGAACCCACCGAAACTTGTCTGCAAAACTAGTTGAGCCGAGGATAAGCCAAGCTGTGTAGGGAAAAAGACGAAACATAACGATGCAGCTTGTCCAGGAGCCAACGATATTTCACTAAAATTGCAGGGATAAAACTGTGAGTTGCTGCTATACGGATCGTAGACACTCAAAACACTATCAACGTCTACATTCTTCACTGATAAAAAGGCTACGGAAGGATTATACATATTCTTATGGCCCCAATCCAGCAGAGATGGTTTTATTTCCACAGGTGGAGTGGAAAATCCATCCGAAAAGCCAACTTTGACAGTCTCGATATTCTCCACCAATTTTGAAGTCCTTCTGTCAAATGATGGGCTTACACAAGAAGAAACATCACTTCTTTGATCAGTAAAACCATCTTGCAGGTACAAAGAACACGAGATAATCTTCCCACTATGCTGAGCTGCCCAGCTTAGATTGTGCTTTAATTCAGATGAATGAACCCCATAAGAATCTGGCGCCTCTGATTCAGCACTAATTTCAGTGTCTACTAACCCAGACAATGTTGATGGGAAACAAAACGAATTCGAAGGCGGACATACATTTTCAAGACTGTGTTGCCCAACAGAATGCCTTGCCACCGATTCTGAGCCAACGATATCATTAGATATGTCCGACGAGTTCTCCAAATTGCTCCTATATGACCTGGACACCTGAAATGCTAACTGGTTTTGCACTTCTTTTACCGAACACTGCTTGCATGTAACAAGAATGGAAATAGCAGATAACAGAACCACCACAAGGCACAAATCCATGGTAGAGAAAAACAGCCTCCTAAGAAAGATGAAACAAAACAGCCGATATCAAGATGCAAATTCACACAATTACTTGTAATGATAAACTAATGAAAATAAAATAAAAATTTTGCAATTAAAAAAAAAAAAAGCAATTCACAAAAGACAAAAAAAATAAACATTAAGAAGTAAGAACTGAAAATCTGAGGCCACTTATCGGAATGAAATGAAATGACTGCAATTATCAACACTTATGAAATCCCAACAGCACGTGATTTCATTTGCATTAAATACACAAACAAACTCATTACTAAAAAAGGAGTTCTTTGATAGCTAGAAAATATTAGAAGAAAAACGTCAAGATTTTCCCATATATAACGCAATTAACAGCCAAATCATTAATTAATTAGCTATCACTATAATTAAGTAACATCATCTCTAAATATCGATAGAACCCACGAGAAAAAAAGAAAAATAAAATCCAGCCATAAACAGAACGTCGTCAGACGCCACTTTATTGATAGTAAATCACAAAAATATTTCCAACAAAACATCTTCAAATAAAAAAAAAAAAAATCATAAGCGGCAAGCTTTTTTATCTCTTAAACTTGGCTGAACTGGAAACCCAAATAAATAAAATATATATTTATTTATTTTTATCTTAATACACCATAAACGTTACCAAACGACGATTGAAACAACATTCGACAGTTTTCCGATTAAAAAAAACAGAGAGAGAGAGAGAGAGAGAGAGAGAGGTAGAGAGAGAAAGTACTGGTGGCAAAGAGTTATTTTTACAGTAAAAATGAAGTTACCGGAGGAGCTGCTGCTTGAGAGCTTTGATCATTAGGGTTCGAGACGCCATTTTTTAGAGATGGAAACCACCATCTACTGTAAACATTTAAAATTTATTTTCTCTCTCTAAAATTTCTTCAACTTTTAGGGCTTTGGATTTTTGCCCAAAATAATGTATGCTGGTACACAAATGAACACACCTGATAAACAACGAATGAATGGCGTCGGCCCTCCGAGGACGAAAGACTTATATATATAATATATAAAATAATAATAAAGAGAAAGAAAATGCGGCCCATGTAAAGTTACTATTTTGCCCTAATGGCAACCATGCATGTCAATTATTTTTTAAATACAAGAGGGGTTTTTAAATATATATTAAGATGGGAAATTAGAGAATTACATTCTTTTTTGTGCTCATAAGAAAATTATTTTTTTTGAAAACGAAAGTCCTTTTTCGTAATTTCCACCATCGGTATAGATTCGAGAAATACTGGTATTGGATTGTCGTAATTTATGATGAGCTGGAAAGAAAAAAAGCCGCTCACGGCCTTAATGTGTTCATATCTGGAATTACAAAACGTAACGGTAGGAAAAATAAAAAGAAAAGCAGTATCGCGGTGGCTGAGTATTTAACAGCTGGTGGGGGAATTTTGAAATTTGAATTTTTTTTGAAACATTTTAAACACGTAGCGAGTGTCGTTTTCTATTACTTCAGGGGCAAAAAGGGAATAATAGTAAGAACATTCTTAAATAAACAAATATAATGGGCAAATTGTGTCATTTATTTTATTTTTATTTTTCTTTAAAAAAAATAAATTAGAAGACCACATTATTAAAATTAAAATTTGAAATGAAATAGGTTTGTTGAAGTATAGTAGAGAAGGAATTAATGCCTTGTGTTTAGGTGGTGGGCCGTGCATGAAATATTCTTTTCTAGGTTAAGTATTTTATGGCCACTGAATTGACACTCAAATGGATTCTTATATATCAAAAAAGAATAAAACGATTTCGGCTATGATTGGTTTATTCGTCACCCTTTATTTATTTATTTATTAATTAATTAATTTTTTTTTTTTTTTATATAGATTAAATAGAGATGCCACAAACAAGAGAAATAGGCGAATTGAATTATTATAGGATAGTATAAACTATAAAGTAGCAATATCTAGAATTTTATCTATTTCTTATTTATAGTGATAAAACTGAATTTCAAGAATCTAAAGCATTTGTATTTATTTATTTTCTTAGATTTTTTCACAAAAGAAATCCACTAGTCAAATTATATTTTTTGTCTAATGGCTCGCAAAATACACGAAAAATATTGTCATTGAAATTTAAACTCGTGTATTCGGACACTAGGGCCATTTTTATTTATTATTTCTTTGTTTGACGATCATCACTAAACAGGAGCGAGTCCATTGGGTCGATAGGGTTGGCTCGAGTCCATCCTCAAATACAACATTTTCTATCATATTATTTACCCAAATTCCGAAAAATTAAATTCATCCTATAATAAAATTATGAACTTGTCACTGTCACTAAGTTATAATTTAGGGGTTTTTTGTTAAACCGGAGGACTATTTTAGGCCCTTTCGTAAAAAAAAAAAAAAAAAAAAAAAAAATTATTTATTCATTTTTCGAAGTGTACAACCTTTACTGTAAATGATGATGTTTAATATATAATGAGTGTGTAGGGTAATAGATAATTAGTTAGGTAATTACTTGAATTTAGTAAGAAAAAACCATAGAGCTTTCTTGGGGGTAATTTCGGAAATTACATGAATATGTAAATGAGTTCGTCGAATATTGATTATTTTGTTAAAGATTGTTCTAGCTCGATTACTAAAACTAAAAGCTTATGAGATCCTACACCTGATAAAATACAATATGTAATTTTAAAATAATTTTTTTCTTTCTTAAAAAATACTAATTATTTCGATTTGATTCGTCTGGTTATGTAAGCAAAAAAATATGCAAGAAAGCATAAAGAAAACAAAATTGATGAAGTCAAATATTTGGCACCATACTACATATATAATTGACTCATATGACCCCAAAATTAGCCTGTCAAGTGTTGACACGTACTGCTCACAAGAGCAATTTTGTGTGACGGCTGTATATAATTGAATATTACTATCTCTCTTGGAAATTAATCAGAATTAGAAATTTAATATTCATATAAATTAACGTAAGGATTCAAGAGTCAATGAGTAATTATAATAAATATTAAAAATATTGAACATATTTGCCTAAGTCAAGTACCATTTACATCAAAATTAATAGTAAAGGTATAGTGAGAGATGAGTTAATTTATAGGGTTATCAATTATCAATGGGCCTAGGTATATTCTGGACCTGTGCTAAACCCATTCCATATTAATATTGTAATTAAAAGAGGCGCGTAGCAACAGTTTCGAGTGGCAGAAAAGAGGCGCGTGGGGCAGTAACAAAAGGCAAGGCCCTGACGGAAAATCTACGAATCGGGATATTAAATAAAAACTGGGAGTGGGATGTTAGAATCTCCGTTCCGTTAGGAGGGGGAAATAAGGAATTGAAACGGCCGTTAAATTTAAACGGCGGCCCCAAATTGTGTTTTGACAACGGAGATTGTAGTATCAAAAAAGTGGGACCCACCATTTATAATGTATAGCCTACTACCGTCCATTTCGGACTTTTTAAATGAAAAAAATGATAAGAGGCGTGTATATTGATTTTTGTACATGATCCTCCTCTTATGGTATGAAATTATGCACGTAACCCTCTCGAGATTTTGATATTTTGTATATGAGCCCCTTATGGTATGAAATTATACACATAACCCCTTAAATAAAAATCTGGAAAAGACTAAATTACCCCTAAAATTCAAACCAAATTGCAACCATACCAACTGTTTGTTGGTTACTCTATCAAGTCAAATTTTCTTGTTTTAATTTAAAAATAATTATTTTATAAAATAAAAAGTTTAATGTATTTTTTTTTGTAAAATGAGAAATATAATATATTATTGTGTTTTTTTAATTTTACAACACAAAAGGTATATAATACTAGTTATTGTACGATTTAAAATTTATTCAATTTTGGAAACCAATTTGAAAATCTCATATGTTACAAATCAAATATGAAATGATTAAACTCGATATAAAATTATGAACTATCCATTTCTTTGTTCAATTATAATTCAGTAAAATAATTTTACATATTTCAAACTTTAATATTGTTCTTAATTATGATTATTATTTATTATTTTATATATAATATATTATATTATAGTTGTTATCGAATTTTAATTTATTAATAAATAAAATCTTTATTATTTAGGGGTAATTTAGTCTTTTCAGTTTTCTATTCAAGGGGATTATGTGCCTAATTTAATACCATAAGGGGGTCATGTGCAAAATGTCAAAACCACAAGTGAATTATGTGCATAACTTCCTACTATAATGGGGTCATGTGCAAAAAATCAAAACCACAAAGGGGTTATATACTTAATTTCAAACCACAAGGGGGTCATGTGCAAAATATCCAAACCACAACGAGGTTAAGTGTTATTTACCCTTAAAAAAATTTGATAGTTGATATTGAAATACTCATAAATAATATGGTTAAATACAAACACACCCCTGTACTATGAACTTTGTATCATATACCCTTGTACTACACATAAATACAAAAATCCTTCTACTGTTACAGTTTTTTCCAAAATATGACGAAAATGTTCCTGCTAAAGCATATATATATATATATATATATATATATATATATGGGTTTGTTTGAGCCATTTTCCACTATATTTTTTTACCACTTTCAGTCCATTTTACTTGGTATATTTTTTTTCTCCAAAAACATCAATTGCTTAATTTTTTTTAATTTTATGAATAAAACCTTTTATTTTTGTCATTTTGAGTTCTTAATGTTTTTCTTAAATGTTTTCCGATAGTTCAAACATCCTAAGATTACAAACATATTTACAATCCTATGATTGTTGAGAGTATGAACTACCGAAGACATTTAAGAAAAAAATGAACAAATTCAAAACGATAAAAATAAAAGGTTTTATTCATAAAATAAAAAAAAATGTAGGCAATTAGATGTTTTGTAGAAAAAAAAAAAATACCAAAATTTTCCAAGTAAAATTGACCGAAAATGTTAAAAAATGTACGTATTGGAAAATGGCTCAAACAAATACTTATATTTATAGGCTTTCGCAGGTGTATTTTCGTCAAATTTTGGAAAACATGTAAGAGTAGAATTTTATGTTTATGTGTAGTACAAGAGATATATGTTACCAATCTATAGTAAATGAGTGTTTTGTATTTAACCCTAAAAAATATGTTCGAATCTCTCATTATTTCAGGCATTAAGTACTGGTAAATAATCCCCGAGTTCAATTTTGTGCATCATATTTTATCAAATAAATTGTCCATTTTTTTTTATTTAACTATTTGGTTGATCTACTGATGACTATTTTTTTGAAACCTCATTTATATTGGCTGCTTAATCTCTATTGCCATGCCAATATATAGCTAGCTGATGGATGTTAAATATGCAGAGATGCTAAACTATATATGCCCAATAATGACATTTATGCATCGTAAAATTTGATCAAGATCGTTTTATGGAAGGATGGCTCACCGATCTGCACAAGCATTTCTGATCTCGATCGAAACTATGTTGATTGTCATATTCATTTCTGTTGCCCCTTAAAACAGAGCCTCATTAGATGAGACCTAGCTAGCTAAATTTATTTTTAATGCAAATTATATTTTGTTTTCCATGTTCGGTTTACAAGAGAAAGTCGAGCCCGTAACTTTTCCTGCATCATCACGTATATCCATCGTGCATGCACGTACACTTCACCGAATTTAATCTAGTGTTGACTGTCATAAATTCTCTTCACAACTCCAAAATGTAAATCTTCCGAAGTTACAAATTATATAAAAGAAAAAAAAATAAAAAGAAGTACAAATCTGAAATCCCCTTTGGTTCGAGAAGATCGAAGTTCGTACGTACATGATTCAAGTAAGCACGTTTTTACAAACAAAAGGACTTCCTATAAAATCATCAAAGCTTTGTCCAATTAAGAACAGCTGAAAAAAGGGGAAATTAATTAAAAGAAACAAAAACAATTTTAAGGTAGTCGTCTTGAATCTTGATCATCGATTTGATCCAACGGTGGTTTATCCAGCATGCCCTATGCCTGGACTATGACCAGGGACCGTTGATTTGGAATCATCCATTTTTGGTGC